TAACAAATAAATGCAAAATTTAGAACGACAATGAACTTCTTGACTTTTCCTTGCACCACACAGTATCAGGAATGGCACTGTTTTTTATGTGGACATGTGGTGATACCTAGCAGTAATGATACTCAAATCATGAAACAACAACTTTCTGTCATTTTCATCAGTAGAACAGAGACAATTGATTTGGCTGAGAAAGCAGAGTTATATTTATTGCAAAATGGAAGGAAAGGTGACAAAACTTGAAATAAATGTTCAAAATTTTCCCTTTGAACAAATCTTTTGTTCAGAAGAAGACCAATGCGACATTGAACTAGAAGTGTTACAAATGACAAGGTTTAAAGGAGTGTGAAACCATACTGTTTGTTTGATTGTGTGTGTGTGTGATCATCAGGTAGGATTAGCATGCCATTATAGGGAATATTGATGGCAACCTGGTTTGTCACACCAACAAGATGTTGACGCTATCAGTCGATGTACAGTAGTAGTCTTACCATTCTCACCATTAAATATGACAAATGATGGTGTAACCTCTTCAAAGAATCTCTGAAGATCAACGAAACCATGTTGACTATCCAACAAACTTTGTTAAATGACTTTGCAAAACATCTTTTATTAGACTTTCAAAAACTTTTCCAACCATTGATGTAAAATTAATAGGCTTATAATTATTGGAACAATTTTTATCACCTCCCTTGAAAAGAAGAATAACATTAGCCAACTTCCAATCTTCTGGAATCTACCCACTTTTCAAGGACTTGCTAAAAGTAGCAGAAAGTGGCTCGCATATCCAATCCTTAATCTTTTTCAAAACTATTAATATTAATATATTCAAAAATATTAAACTTTCCAGTTTTTATTATTGACAAGCTCAGAATTAAGGTGATCTTTGTGTTCAATCATGTTTACATCTGTCAACTGTTTAGGTAGAGTAATATTGCTTAAATCTTCATTAGTAAAAACTGAAGAAAAAAATACAAATTTAATAATTCAGTCATCCCATAATCATCAGATATTAGCATTCTTGTATCATTTCTCAAAGGTTCTACTCCAGTCCCAACATCTTGATTATCCTTAATGTATTTGAAAAATTTCTTACTATCAATTTTTACATTTTCAGTAAACCTTTTTTCATACATGTTTTTGGATTTCCTAATTTCCTATTTGTTCAACTCTCTTGATCTTATATTATCTTCTATATCTCCCATCATTGCAGTGAATTTAAACTTCTTGTAATTATAATGCTTTTATTTAGTTTTGTTGTTTATACCCTTTGTAGCCAACTTGGTATTTTTACTTATAGCCACCCTTATTTGTCTAAATGAACTGTCTATCTTGAATATTTGAGAATTTATTTTAAAAAATGTCTACCTTTGATCAGTATTTTCAACTAATTCAGTTTTCCAGTTCACACTGGATAATTCTTGTCTCATCTCTTCAGAATTTTCTTTTTTGAAATTTGGAACCGAAATCTCATTATTCCTTATCTCCATATGCAGCAAAACATCAAATCTAATTGAAGAATGATCACTTGCATCCACTCCTTACCCCGTCAATCATTTCCTTATTAGAAGTTAACAATAAATCTATAATAGAATTCTTCCTTGTAGATTTCCTAACAATTGTTGAAGAAAACCACCTTGAACAGTTTCTAAAATTCTGTCTCTAACATTTTCCAATCTATATGCCTGAAATTAAAATTGCCCATACATACAACCTCATTAAAGGTTGAATTCTCTTTCTCACTGCAGAATTTCAGCAGTTTCACCTGCTTATCTGAAACAAATTTCAACTAAAAGCCTTCTTCCCTTATAACCACTAACAGAAACCCAAATAGATTCAACCTCTTTGCTGTTAACTTTGATATCCTCAAGTTGAACAGGCTGTATCTTACATTTTACATATAAAGCCACTCCTCTCCCTCTTTTTTAGTTTTCTGTCCTTACTAAATAACCTTTAACCTCCTATGTAAAAGAAATTTCTGTCATCAAAATTGTCTACATTTAGCCAGGTTTCAGTTATTCTCATTATATTAAAATTCTCTTTTCCAACCAGTGCTCTTTAAAATTCATCCATTTTATTTCTTAAGCTTCTAGCATTACAATAATAAAGGTTTAACCTACCCTTAACACAACCTTTGTATTTTGTTCCCACACTATACCCCTCTTTCCATCTTAATTTTTTGTCATTATTCTGGCCCTTTCCACTGTCTAATCCTAGTTTAAAGCTGCTATTACAGTTGAGATAATATCTCTTGCAAACAAGTCAGTCCCTAATTAAATAGAAACCATCCATTCCCAAAATCTCATTTTCCCACTAAACTGATCCCACCAGCCAACTTGCTCTTCCTTACATATTAACCTAAGCCTAGCATTCAGCCCTAGTGACCTACTTATAATTTCATCTCCATAATTAATTCTTAGCAGTATCCCTGACAGAATTAAGTTATTGTTGTCTTTTTTCTTTAAATGCTATTATTAATGCCTTGTACTCAACAGTAAGTTCCTATGACCTACCCCTCTGTACATCATTAGCCCCTATGTGCCAGCATTGTTTACTGTATCACTTGCTCAGTTAGTAATGTCCTCCACCCCTGATCCTAGATAACATAATGTAATTATTTTCTCCCTCTTTACTCTACAGACTATCCTATCCATGTGCTGTACTAAAGAATCTCTTATAACAATAACCTTATGTTTTCCATTCCCGTTTTATCTCCATTTTCTAATCTTTCCATCTTTAAGTTCATCATCAGAACAAGCTAAGTACTGAAATCTGTTAATTAATATAACCTTGTCATTATGACTAAATCTACTACTACTACTACTGCCCTGTGAGTGCTGCTTTTAACTACTTGAAAGTCATTAAGAGCCTCTGTATCCTTTGCATGCTAAGGCTAAATTTCCTTTTTAAATGCTGTTGCCATTTCCCACAGTTTAACCTTTTCTTTATTCATAGCCTCTAGCCTATTGAGAATGGCCTTCAACCTATAAAATCTTTCTACAAACCCTTGTATACAGACAATCTAAGAACATTTCTGTAAAAAGTAGTATAACTAAAATTATGCCCACAAAAAGCAATATTGGCATGACCTCTAATGAAAGAAAAGTAAGATCCAGATATATATACAACAAAGCTACACATTTTTTAAGGTTATCATATATAAGTGTGCTCATATTGACCCTACAAATAATTTGTTACCCCTAATGTTTAGCTACCTTAACTGGTACCAGTTCCTGCTCTTCTAATAAGATTGTGAATATTATAAATCATCTCAAGCTTTTGTACAATTATCATTTAACTAAAGCTCCAGGTAACCTTTTCATTCATTGAACTTCGTAAAAAAGAAGCTTACTGAGTTCCATAAATATATATATAAACACCTGCACATATATAGAATACATGCATTAGCATTTTTTACTTACTACATATTTTTGACTTCATATTTGTGTTTTAAAGTATTTTTGTTTTTTCAGAAGAGGCCCAGCGCAATATAGGTTTCAAGTATTTTATGAACTAGACAATCTAGCCATAGTTAATGTGAAGGAAGATCCAAGTGAGTATATGTAAATCTCTTAAGTATGTATTAAAATCCAGACTAAGTTTCTTTGAATGTTGAAAGTATCTAATGTTTTAGGGGATCCTTTAGGTTTATTGGCATGGTCAAATCAACTGAGCCTGTAGTGAGAGAGTTAAAGAGTATATATATGACTGTGAGTGTTATGAGACAAATGTATAGTATATTATCTTCTAATTAATTTGAAGTAATTGGTTAACAAGATCAATTTAAATTTTGAATATTAAATATTAACACTTGTGTAGACAAATTCCTATATATGATCTGTTATGTTTGACTTGAGACCAGAATCTTGATATCTGATTGTTTAAAACTGGGGGTTTTGTTTTTTGTTCATATAGCAAACCTCTTTCTTCTCTCACGTACTACAAATCAGTTCTGGGGATTGTGGTGATTGATTCCACCACCAGATGCTCAGTAGATGATGTTATTCACTCATGTTTTGTCCTTCACATGTGAATAGCTTTGTATGGAACTAAAATTGTTCCAACAATGAACTAAACAAAGGGTTGTTTGGTCATTCTTAAAATGTTACAGTGGGTGCATACATGTATGTGTATGTATTATGACAATCATTTAATGGAAACACTTTACTTGTAAATGCACCACATCAAACTATGACACCAAAAAATCATTCTACTGATTTATATAATGTTAATCATCTACAATTGCCCCGAGAAGGAAATTTACCCAGTCTCAACCTCATCCAGTGAAACAACAGCTATGCCACAGTCCTAACTTTCTCATCACCATAATATGAATAATTGGTTTTCAAATAATTGTAGATTATCAAAGCCAAATACTTAAATTATCCTGCAACATTTAGCAATTAAAACAACTATAACCCCTGTGAAGGAGTTTTAAAAAGCATAAGAATAATTCTAACAAACCCACCTGACAATTAACTAGCATCATCATGTCTTATTTCTATGTCTTCTAAAAATATTTCAAATACAACTTACAATAAGAAAATTGATCTATTACATGTATAGTATCTATACATTAAAATTTATATAGTGATTAATGTTAAAGTTTTTGATAAATATCATATTGGCCCAAATATAGGGCAATCTAGAAGATAAGGCAACCCCCATTTTCAGAAACTGTGGGAAAGGAAAACAATTGGATGTTACAACATCCTTTTTTAGGGCCATGAAATGCCTTTCTTGTAGAATGTGCATTAAGTAATTCAGTCTTTTGTTTTTGCCAATGCCTCACATTATTTTCAGTTACACCAAATTTTGTAGCAGTGGTACAATTGTTCGTTTTTTCTGCCTCATGCTCCACCATAATTTTAAGATTTGCATCATAACTTCATCATAATCCTTTGTTAATTTGAAACTTTCTTGTTCCCTGTCTTTCATTCTTGCACAAGGGTCAATCAATAAAATGATATTCACAGACAACAATTATTATAAAATTTCGAACAAGATAATCAAAGCATTAATGTACCAGAAAAATCAATACTATAACTAAACAGCTTGGAGGTGGATTAGTTGCAAGAATTAACGATGACCTTCAGTGAACATCTGGCATGCGTGCATAGACATTCAGGAATGCGACAGGCTAGAGTAGGGGGAAAAGGCATGTGGTTGGTCATGATTATAAAGCGACTATGAATTTTATAGCCTAACTATTAATCAAAAACCTGCCTTATAATCAGGCCAATACAGTAATATAAGTAGGCACTAAAAACTGTTTTGTATTGGTTCAATAGTTTCGTACAAGTAACATCATTAACAAAAGTTCAGGTTTTGTCTTTGCTATTTATTATGCAAGAACAAGAAGAAAAGATAAGTGCATCTAACATGTTAACAAGTGCAACCAACAGCAAAAATTTGCATAGAAGAAATATTGAACATCTAAAACTGCAGCACCCTCAGTTTGACTTATTTATCACTCTTTGCATTTCAACCAGGTTTAGAAAATCTAAAAAATATGTTGTTCTGTAGTAGTAGTAGCACATTTTTTGCCTTATTATTTTATATTGTTTTCACACCTTAAAGAGTTTCTTCAAGGTATTGATGTTCATGAGTAACTTCAGTTACATTATGGTTATTCTTATAAATCAATTCTAATAGTGTTGAAGAACGTCTTCAAGATACTGATGTTTCCAGACACAAGACTGTTTCAGTGTGACACTGCTGCAGCCAAGGTGAGGATTCAGTGTTTTAACTCTGAAAAAAAAAAGATATAAATGAAGCGAACAAGAAAACAAGTATAGAAAATGAAAGATTTATTTATTGATTATTACAAACAAATGTCACATGATTATTGTATCTCATTATACAAAATGATCCAATAACAAAATATGTTTTCACTAACTGATCACATATTGCCTGTACTTATAACTCATACCTTTGCAGTGATATCCTTATGCACTTTAACTTGTCTGATACTGACAAATATCTTACTAATCCTGTATGTTCCCACTGTGTAACTTGTGCTCACACAAATATTTAAACTGCACTTTGGTAGTTGGGCCTAGGGTCAATTTTCAATCAAGTGATATTTCACTTGTTCATAAGAGTCGGTTATTTACTATACAATCTGTATTTGCATCATATGTTGGATATTGGTGAGACTAGATGCATAGTCAGTGAACGATTTGGAGAATGTTCTTATGTAATTAACAAAAATCACAACTTTTCACATATTGATTCTGCAGTGCTAAGATCTTCCCCAAAAGACTAATACATGTGTGAAGATAAAAAAAATGTCTTGTTTTCAACTTTGTCCCCTAATGGTTTTGTGGAAAATTTTATTCTTATCAAAGTTTTTTTTTATATAATGAGAATAATTATGTACATGAATATATACATCAATTCTGTATAAGCAATCAAATCAGCACTATGTAACAATAATGGAAGTTAACATATAACCATATAATCTTGTATGTACATATAATACAGATTTGCACATTAGTATGTTATATAAACCTGTAAACTAAATGACAGTGATATTATCTACGTTATCCGATTCTTTTCCTGAAAATATTTTTCTTAGTTAACTCTGCATCTAATTGTATTGATTTTCATTGTTGCTATTCTATATATATATATATATATATATATATATACATATATATATGTGTATATTGAAACTTTCTCTGTATAAAATGACTATCTGTAACTTTGTTTTTAACTGTCATTTAATTCCATTCCAGCAACATTGTTAAGACATACAAAAGTGTCAATATTAGATGGTAGGTCACTCTTGAAAATATTAATTTATTTCAGTTTTGTGAGTATTTCTACAGGAGTAAATTAGGACTCTCTTTAAGTTATTGCAGTAAATAGTGACCAGTTAAGACAGTGCAAAAATAACCTTAGCTTAAATTTTGTATGTTTTAATTGAAATATCATGTTCAAATAAAACAAACATGTTTTCTTATTTTTAAGTATTGTAAGAAAAAACATTGTACCAAAGAAACATTTATGGATGTAGGATAAAAACTACATAATCAAAAGTAATTCCATCAAAAAATTAATTTATAATGTGTTGGTCACTTAAGTCAGTTAAAAGAATGTAGTAAAGAAGAAATTTTGATATACATGTGATTTATCATATAGACATGCAATTTTTCACTGGTGAAAACATTAAGTACACTGAGTGGTCACAAGTAAATAGACACCTAATTTTTCGTTA